TCGGATTGTTCCCTTGTTTATTACGTACATCACCTCAATGCAGGGTATTTACATTTACAAGTGTTGTGCAAATCATGGCTTCTAGAAAAACAGATAGGTGATTTCAATTGAAACAAAGCCAGAAATCATCAGAAGGAGTGAAAGTTGACAAAAACTTCCTTGTCAAATGAGGAGAGGTTCAGGAGTTTACCAACACTCATTATCCAAACAGAGCTGAGGCCAACAGGNCAAGAAATCATCAGAAGGAGTGAAAGTTGACAAAAACTTCCTTGTCAAATGAGGAGAGGTTCAGGAGTTTACCAACACTCATTATCCAAACAGAGCTGAGGCCAACAGGATCAATGATCTCTACAATGACACCCTTGCCCATCATTTCCGACAGGTGTTGAAGAAGAGAGAGAAACAGACCACCTTGGACATGTTTTTCAAGAAGCCAGCTGCCAAAAAACAAAGAATGGAACAAGAGAAGATGACCCTGCAAGCACCGGTAGCCTCACCTGAATCTGACTCCGATTAAAAAACAATAAAAAGAGACCTGCTGCAATGTGTAAAAAGTCTGTATCTGTATGAATGTGTGAAGAAAGGGTTCCTCCACCTCCTTCTCACAACATCTGACTATCCGGCATAATTGGTGACTGTTTCATTTAAATTTTTTTTATGGTACAGTACGGTTATTTTATGCTGTGGAACGAATTATATGTTTTAACATGTATTTCTATGGAAAAATGCGTTTCGTATAACAGACTTTTCACTTAATGGACATGCACCTGAAACGGATTAAGTATGTTATACGAGGCACCACTGTATATTCTTCGATGATAAACTTGTCAACAAGATTGTTTCAGAAACAAACAGGTATGGTGATAGTTTGCTAAACTGTGACGATTTTTCAAGTGCAATGTCGAGCAACCGCTTTCAACTCTTATTGTCCTGTCTGCATTTTACGGACAATAATCAAGCTTCACGTGGTGATGATTGACTGCATAAATTACGCAGTGTTATTGATCATTTACGCCACAAGTTCAAAAATGCATACCTCCCAGAGGAAAATATCTGTGTAGACGAAAGTCTTATGCTATGGAAAGGGAGATTGGGATTTAGGCAATACATACCAAACAAGCGTGCTCGGTTTGAAGTTAAAAAAGTTAAATTTGTGAGTCACAAACAGGATATGTTTGGGACTTTATAGTTTATACTGGAGCTACTACTGAATATGGAAATTTTGAAGGTGGGCAAGGAGAGAAGATTGTGTTAAACTTATTAGAACCGTTGTTCAGTAAATATCACAAGGTTTTTTAGATAGGTTTTTCACCTCACCGACCTTAGGGAAAATGCCTCTAGACAAACAAACCTATGTATGTGGAACAGTAAATAAAAATTGGATAGGAATGCCATGTAATTTTCCTGGCAATAAATTGAAAGAAGGGGACTGTATCACCTGTCAAAAAGATGAATTGTCTGTGTTCTGTTGGAAGACAAAAGGGGTGTGGCAATTCTAAGTATGATGAGTGACAACAAATTCTCTGATTTGGGTAAACATGACAGATCTGGGGAAGTAATAATGAAGCCAAATTGTATTTTGGATTATAATCACAATATGGGTGGTATTGATCTCTGTGATGGAGTAATACACAATTATCCATGTATGAGAAAAATGGTAAAATGGTACAAGAAAGTGTTTTTTCATATGATGGATATTACATTATATAATGCTTGTATTTTATATTGAAAACATATGAAAACACAAATATCATTTCTAGATATTCGTATGTCTGTTATCAGAGAAGTGATAGAGAAGTATCACACAAGCAGACATCTAGCCTGCCACGGTCAACCATCACATGAAAATCTGTTACGTTTATCCAAACGGCATTTTCCCAGTTTTATACCACCTACAGAAAAAAAAGCATCCATCCAGAGTACGTAAAGTATGTTTGGCTAACAAAAAGCATGCAGAATCACGTTATCAACGTGTATAATGCAATGTCCGCTATGTGTTGTACCTTGTTTTGAGATATATCACACTAAAATTAACTTTTAAAATAAAATTTTTTGTTTTTTACATTCCCTAATATGTTCATTTTGTGTGTAAGAAATATAAAGTAATTTGGAATAATACGATAGCCACAATTATTATTTTTCTAAAACGTGTGATCGCGTTAGGCTTAACATCGAAAAAAATTCAATGTGGAGCAACACGTGACGGAGAAAATATTCAACATCGAATAGGTTAAATAAAAAAATCTAGTGAAAATATTAACACATAAAAGGAATTATTCAACAAAGAATTTAAATTTTGGCAACAGATTGTATAAACTATGTGGAAAGTATGTTCTCATAAAAAAACTATTAAATTGCAATTTAAAAAAATTGTACTTATAAATTCCAACTGTCATCCCGTCTGTCTGGTGTCTGTCCCTTCTTAATCTTAAGAAAGGTATTAGGGAGATAAAGTCTAGACCAGATGTGGAAAGCTTAGGGCAGGAGGCCCAGATTAAATTAACTATATACGAACCTCAGGTTTGGAATGGAAGTAACGTTACTTCAATTAAAAATTTTCCCTCAAATAGAGTTAGATAAATAACCGACAAGACTTTATTGCTAACAGGAAAAGTATGATGTACAGGAGCAAAACCACCACTAAAACAATTGAGAACATTGTGATGAAAAGTTGCAGCCCAGATGACAAGCAATTATTTATTGTGACATTGTCACAATAAATAATTGCTTGTCAGCTTGTCATAAATAATTAATAATTGCTCGTTGAATTCTAACGAGCCAAATAAATAATTGCTTGTTAGAATTAGTTTGGTTTATTTGGTTACAGAAATGTGACACATGAGTGATCTGCCAAGAAGGATGTATCCCAGAAAAACATGTATGTAAAATTGGCCTCAATTTAAGTGTTACTAATGCAAAGAAAATCTATAAAACTCCATATTTATCATAAAATGTTGATTTTAAATCCTTAAAAATTAATAGTTTATTACTAAATAAATAAATAATATTCTACAATATAACATTTTTCATTTTTTTCCTGTAATATAACTTTAAAAAATTAAGTTAAAGTTTACAATCCTACAACCTATTCCTTCATCATACTTCCACTTGATATACGAGATCTTGTTCACAAATGGTACGTCTTGTTTTAAATTTGCATGTTGAAGTTCTGATTCTACAGAATTTGTCACTGCACTGTAGTAATATAATTCAATTGCATTTTAATTTAATTTTTCTGAGGTGTTTGTGTATGTGTGAGTTTAAATTTTCTATTAGTGATATTTTCAAAAGAATAACAAATATGAATATTTGTTGGCATTAATGCATGACTGTTGATGTTGTCATGATGTTGCAAGCAGAATACAAAGAATTACACTTGGATGAGAGGATTTCTTCTGATGTTAAATTTGCTGTGAAAATGGGTCTTTTTGCCTCCTGATAGTATTTGTGAGAAATGTAAAAGGATTAGGTTCTTGAAGCTGCAAATCAGTTTGAAACATACTGTTTATTGTCAGTTTGAAACATATACTGTTTATTGTAGTTCTAAATATACAGTTTTGAAAAGTGCGATCAAAGGTACTTTTAGAGGTAAGCATGATAATATGAGTTAGAAGAAACTAGTTTTTTTTTTATTTATTTATTTGGCATATGTTTTGTGTGAAATGTAGTTTGACAAACACTTGTAATGCTGTAGGAATTAGCTGCAGAACTGAAGTGGATTGAGTGAATTTTGTAAGGCATGTAATGATGGTTGCCCTTCATAATTTGACAAGTTTGAAAATAATAGACTAGGTAAAACTGTCAAAATAGATGAGACAGTAATTTGTTAAAGGAAGTATGAGAAAGATAGGAAAATGAAACAAACCTGTTGGGTTGTGGAAAGTGTGTGCAGAGAGGATGGTGCATGTTTTGTCACTCACGTTAATAATAGGTCCGATATAGGCGTTAACTTGAGTTATATATAAGTTTGTTCATCCTGAAACAATGGTTTACATGAATGAATGGAAAGGATATTTATGTATAGATGATTTAGAGGGTCATGAAATTGGCTATAAAACAGTCAAACACATCAAGTGTTTTGTTGACCCTTAAACTAAAGTTCATACTCAAAGGATAGAACATTTGTAATCATATCTAAAGGACTGTAAAAATGTTCCTAAGTATTTTGTTGAAGAACTGTTAGATTCATATTTGTATTCTTTTATGTACACGTTGATGAAACAATCAGAAATTAGTCCAGGCAAAAGGTTTCACAAGATATTAAACATATAGTTAATGTGTATCCTGGTTATGGAAGGCAATCAGTTTGGAAGGTACCAGAAAGTAAGCCTGTGGCACCAAAAGGTAAAAAGAGGAAGTGATGAGGACAACTATCCTCTGAAAGGCACTTATGCATTTTTAATGAAATGACAAAGAGTTATGAGTCATGCAGTAAGTATATTTTGAATTTTTTTTTTTAATCACTTACCTTTTTCATTTTCCTTTTTTTTAAATTAATCATAGTTTAAACATATATGTGTAAGTTTAGGCATGTTTGTTTGTTTTAAAAAAAATGTGCTGTATGACAGTTCGGATGTTGTCACAAGATGTCACGAAGAAAGCCCAGAGAGATAGTTTCAATCATGTGCATTATGTTCCTCTTTCTGTTCTTATATGTAAACCAGAAGTTGCTTGTGACATAGGAGAGGTTGTATGATTGTAAAATATTACCAAAACCATTATGTAGTCAATATATGACATCACAAATCTTTCCCTACCTGAAGTTTTTTGAGTAGCATACAAAAGCAACATATATGTTCATAAATGTTCATAATGTTGTATTAACTTGTAAAATAATCTATATATTTGTTCATTTAATGTAGATTTAATATGGATTCCATTTAGTAGAAATAAAAAATACTTAAAGACATTAAATATTCCTTAACAAAATGGCAATGTGCGTTAAATATTATATAATATAAAATCGTTTTTTAATTAAATATTTAATAAACTAATATTACCTTTGGAGACTGTAATGTTAATCGTCGTTGTAATTCAAAATTAGCTTGTGCTCGATTAGACAATTGAATGTTTGCACTTTCAAGAGCTTGTGCAAGAGCTCTGTTGTTACTAAGAAGAGCATTTATTTTCATTTTGTAGCTTGAAACTAAGTTACAAAAAAAAAGAAAGCATCATAACTTTGTAATTAAAATAAAAAAACTATCAAAATAATGAAATAAGAAGGAACCTCACAACATTTGGCACATCTTTAAGATGTCTCAAACTTTTCAAGATTCCTTATTACTTAATTATTAAAAGATAAGGTATAGAAGAAAAAATGCATGACAACAATATCCACACACATCTTTAATTTTTAATCATAGACCTGTTCTTGCTTTTAGAAATTTGTCTCAGAATATAATGTGAGAACTGAAGGGTTAGGACTACGTCGTCTGCTCTTGGATCGGCTTTCAAGTCGTAGGGACTTGCCACTAGTCAGAGATGGCTTAAGGTTTCTTTAGTTTATCCCGAGGAAAAGGGATTAAAATTTTTCGGGTTGAGGGGAGTAGAGAGGAGTGCCGTCGGAAAGGCGACAGACAATATACGAGTAAAAGAGGATATCAATTTAATTAACAAAGAAACAACAATTTATTGGTTAACTATATAGACCATACAATAAACTATCATCACGGAATTCCGAGTGAAAATTCTGAGTCCCTAAAGCGCAAAGGGGCCGAGAAAGAGTTTACAGAAGTGGGTTCCATACCTCTTTCTAGATGTGGATATCCTAGAGCACAAACATAGGGCACAAGTTAAAGTTAAATCCTCAAAACGACTCTCTCGAGGGGGAGAGATTTTGTAAATGTAAAGATTTCACATATCTTTTGCAAAAACATTTAAATTTTCAAAGCCTACTACTAAGCCTACTATTTTTCCTAATTATTTTTAAAATTCCAAACATTAATAGTTTCTTAGAATTACTTTGGAATAAAAAATGTAAATACTGTGGTGTAAGTAACATATCTGCATTTATTTCTTCTGTAATAACAAAGTTGTATGTAGGAAGAAATAAATAAAAAAAACTAAATACGAAAACTTCATCTTTCTTATTTCACTATTCAATATTCAATCTTCCTTATTTCAATTTTCTTTTTGTTATATTCTGAAGGAAATTTTGCATAATTTGGTGGCCCCGGCAAACTTCTTATGGACCCCCAGGGGGCCGCGGTCCCCCTGTTAAGAAACACTGCAGTAGAGCAATTATAATTCAATTATCCAAAACAATTCAGGACTGGGGTTGTTCGGATAACTAATCATATATGAAAAAATATATTAACTTATCCTATGTTGAAAATTTTTCTCTGTTTCATGTCACTTCACATTGAATTTTTGTCAATGTTAAGCCTAATGAAATTTTTTTAAAAATAATAATCATGGCTATTGTATTGTTAAAAATTATTTCTTTATTTTGCACAAACAGAATAAATACATCGAAAAATATTTTTAAAAAATTATATTTTGATATGTTATAATGATCAATTGTCAAATGTGAGAAAGTTGACAATTAACTTAGTCTAGGGAGGAAATCTATAAAGTTAATCTAGTATCAAAAATGTTCCGATTCACACCACACATCCCAACAACACAGTCCTCAGAAAAACACCACACAAAACAGCAAAACTCCTTCTTTTTCTTGGGGTTTATCTGGAGATGTCAGCCGCTTGGGCTATATTCTCTGATGAGCTGAAGCAAAACACACCACTCACGATGGGGGAAAAAACCTTGTTCAAATACTGGCATATTCTTAAGTACCCTCTTGATGTGTTTCATGTTGAATTGGAACGTTTTTGATAATAGATTAACTTCTGAAATATAATTTTTTTGTTTTTATATTTTTAAATATATTTATTTTGTTCGTACAAAATAAAGAAATAATTTTTAACGATACAATATGGTCGCGCCAGTGCTGCCAGCTAAAACACGCACACCAACAAAAATAATATTAGAGTAGCCCAAGACATAGCCAAATATTGCAGTGCCATGGCACTAGCGGAAACTTGAATTTGCCAACTGGATTGCTTTCGGTTAACCGCTGTTTCAGTTGATCAGTATTCGGATAATCAATGCTCTACTGTGTATATATATATATATATATACATACATACATACACACACTCACACACAAACGTGAGGATCCAGAGAGTTTTTTACATAAATTTTTAATTAAAAGAGAGGCTTTAGAAACTTTCTCCTTTTTCCCATCCAGCTCCCACAGAGTAAGAATGGGAAATTATTAAATATATACATGACTATCAACAAGACCTTTCCCCTTTGCATTGACCCACGAAAATAATGAAAATATGTTATAATGCTCGATTGTCAAATGTGAGAAAGTTGACAATTAACTTAGTCTAGAGAGGAAATCTATAAACAATTGCTGACAAACAATTGTCATTGCTACCAAACAAACCATCACATGATCAGATTCCCACACTAAAGACATAAATAATGAGAGCACATCTGACAATCAGGGGGCCTACTTAGAAGCAAACATAATTAGAAGCTATAACTTACGGCTCATCCCGCCATATAGAAGGCAGGAAGTTCAGAAACAACTTCCGTCTCACTATGGGAAATATAGAAGACTTGCACTAGATATCAACTTTACTTCAATTCAACCCAAAGACATTGACTCATCAGAGACATTCAACTAAGGTATAATTACGTACACACACTCTCTCTCTCGATCAATGTGGACTTATTATAGATAACCCCCCGTTATCGCTTGGGACCAAACTTAGATCGTTAAGTAGTTAGTCTTAGCCTTAATCATAATATCGAACCTGTGTTACTTATGCCTTTCCGCTTTTTGGTGTATCTGGTTATTGTATGCTTTTAGTTAACCCATTAAATTGTTATTTTGTTGTTAACTTTATCCAACTTTAGACTTATTTCGGCACACCAAGACACCCTATTGACTTACTCTTTGCACCCCCCACTTGATTTATAGCCCTCCTAGTCATCCAGTGACAATGTGAGCAGATCTCGCCAATCCATTGCCATTAACAGGGGTTTCAAGTTAGACTCTTTACCCCTCAGCTTCTCACACACACACATACATACATACACAACTATATTTCAAGTAAGTAATNTAACCCCCCGTTATCGCTTGGGACCAAACTTAGATCGTTAAGTAGTTAGTCTTAGCCTTAATCATAATATCGAACCTGTGTTACTTATGCCTTTCTGCTTTTTGGTGTATCTGGTTATTGTATGCTTTTAGTTAACCCATTAAATTGTTATTTTGTTGTTAACTTTATCCCATGTAGACTTATTTCGGCACACCAAGACACCCTATTGACTTACTCTTTGCACCCCCCCACTTGATTTATAGCCCTCCTAGTCATCCAGTGACAATGTGAGCAGATCTCGCCAATCCATTGCCATTAACAGGGGTTTCAAGTTAGACTCTTTACCCCTCAGCTTCTCACACACACACATACATACATACACAACTATATTTCAAGTAAGTAATGCCAACAGAAATGATACCACAGAAAAGATGAATTCACTAGCAAATCTTACTACTTAGCAGAGAAAAAGTATTCTGACTGAACTACTATAACTTCCTGCAAATCATATGATTTGCAAGTTATGAGTAATATGAGCTGCAAGTTATCTGTGTTTTAAAGATAGTTGGAAAGCAATGCAGGTTATTCACCACTGTGGACAACTATTGATTTTAAACTGCAATTATGAGCTCACCCTACAGTTTTTCTTTCATCTAAACTTACTAAAAATGTCTCTAAAAATGGTAAAAAATTCTTTACATATTGCAAATATATTTTATTCATTATATATATAAGTATAATGCATAAAATATAACACCATTTGAGATAATATTTATCAAAATCATATTTTATAATTTTCTGCAACCTACTTCTACATATTAAAATTTTAGATTACTACATATAGCAGGGTAATTGCTTTTTAACTGAAAGCAATGTATATATAAAACACAAAAATTAACAATATAAAATGGCCATTAGAATAATTTAATACAAATACTGAATTTCAAAATTTCTTACTAAATTTTCTTGAAATAATTATGAAAAAAATTAGAACTTTTTGTACATTAGTATGAAGACAAATTTGTGATTTCTGAAAAATAATTTTAAAAAATTATTGTAAAATATAATTTAATTACAAAATTATTTTATGGTTTGTTTATTGAACAATGCTATTTACTGTTAATAAAATAAATTTATTTCTTTGAAGATTTATAGTTATCATATTGCTATAGAAAATTCATATGCAATATACTAGCATTAGTAATCATTTAAGTTTATCATTAAAAGTTTGTTAAAGCTCTTTAAAATGGTTCTCTTAAATTAATGTCTATCTGAAAATATTTGTATTTGTGGACTGTATTTGAGGACTATATTTGAATAACTTTAAATAATACACTTTAAAAACAATTTTTCTACATTAGGCTCAAGCAACCTGAGACCTTTGAGCCACATCAACCCTCTCTGATTTTCCCTGTAATGCACATACTATCAAGATGTTTAAATGTTACATCTTAATTTACAATAAGTTAAAGTATAGTAAGTTTTATAGCTACAAAAAATATATTTGAAGATTAATTATCAAAAGTATCACATTTCCTTTACTAAAATGTAAAACTTCCTTTATGTAGAATTTACATAAAATCTGGCCCAATCACACATCAAAACATTCTTGTATGACCATTTACTACAGAAAAGTTGTCCATGTCTGTTATAGCTTTATTACGTTTATGTAATACTAGCAAATGAGCCTGGCATTGCTTGTGCAAACGATTTGGATAATTCTGTAAATATTGCACATTTGGAAATTAAATTATTACTATCAACAGTAATCTTCAACAACTATAGTGATTGTTATATAACACATATCCCTTATTGCTGAGAATCATTTTACTGCTTCAAACGAACGTTTTCAATCTAATCAATTTTCTGGAATGTTTACAATCATTCTATAATTGGATCAATACACAATATCATTTTCGAATTCAAAAAGGTTCGAACATTTGGTTAAAAAATCAAAATATATAAAAATGTATCATGTAATAATGTAAGAATGTCTGAAATGTATCTAATGTAATACACCTAAGTACTCAAAAAATACAAAACTCAGTGAAGACTAAATGTACTTAAAAACAAAAGATGGTTTCTAAAATACATTTAGCCGTTATTCAGGTTAAGCCTTAATCCTCTCTTTCTCCCCCACAGGGAAATTTCCAAAAATCCCTTCTTAGTGTGCACTTTCATGACATACCCTAACTGTGTTCCAAGTTTCACCTCTTTAGGTTCAGCAGTTTGCTCTGGGTGATGATAAATCAATCAGTCACTCAGAACAAGTAATTTTATATATTTAGATTTCCATATTATTCAGTAATAAGATTTGTATTTTTAACTTATATAGTACAGTGGAACCTGGTAAACTCTGGTCAGGGAAAAAAATTTAACTTCCAGTTAAAAAGTTTCAAGTTATGCTTAGGTTTGGCTAAAAATCAAGATTTTGAGCTTTAGTTTATTGGCGATGCATAATAAACTACTCATACAATATTTCTGTGGGTTTTATTATATAGAATCATTGTGTTAATGTAAATCTTTCAGCATTAATCCAGAAACTGGAAAACACTTAACTGAAAGGTTAAAAAAGCTACTGAGAAATGCTTTCCCAAATGGTTGATCCATTCATTCCTAAGTGTTTAATAAGGATTTTTTAAAATTGTGATATTTTGCATCTAGAATTGATCTGTGTTTTACTTTTTCTCACAAACATACTACTCTTTAAAACTATTATATTTTTTAAATTTTGTTGCAAAGGTTACAATTTTTACACAAAATCGAACTATAATTATTTTTTTTTAAATTAATTTATCAAAAGTCCATTTATTTATTGTGTCAGCTAGTCAAAGAAATTCATCATCAATATCGAATAAAACTTTTCAAAAAAAAGGTTTGAATGGCAGTTAAGTATCTAGGTGACACATGCAGTCTAAAAGCCACTCTGCCCACCATCACATGACACAATGTTTATTTCTAGTCATACATGTTTTATGCACTTTATAGAAAGTTTCTGATTAGTTTATTTGATAGATGAACATTATTTTACTTAAATAAAAATTCCGGAGAGTTTTTAAAAATACTGTATCAAAAACCCCATTCAAGTTAAACAAATCAACAAAATTTGAGTTAACATGTATGATCAGGGAAAAAATGACTGAGTGAACCTAAGTAAACGCAACCACAAGTTATCCTTGTTCAAGTTAACCAGGTTCCATTGTAACTAACTTAGCATTTATCAATATCTTAACTTAAAATTAACTATCAAAAATAACTAATACTCATATTAATAAATTTGTAATATATCATTTATTTCTTATAGTTTTAACCAATTATAAAAATTTATATTTCAGCAAATTCATATTATTGTAATTATAATTTTTTATTATTATATTTCTTTTCAATAAAAATATTGGAAAGTAGGTTTATTTTTTATTACAATATATTTGACATATTACTATCTCATAAAAAATACTTAAATATATTATGCATAAATGTTATTATTTTCCATAAAAAACATTACCATTGCCATATTGAATCATGTGATGAAATTCTATTCATCCATTATGTTTATTTTTGGAATAGCTGTTGGCTGAAAAGGATAACTTTGTCTTTTTTTTTTCTGTTGTAATTCAACATAACACAAAATATCACTTCAAATTAATGTTGTTTCAAATGTATCAGCTACTTTATTCATATTCCATGTTCATTGTTCATATTGTCTTTGTTTTTGCCCAGTCTTCAATTTCTTTATTTCATTCATTTCGGATAAACGCCCTCTGCCACACGATTGCCCTTGACGACTATAGTTGTCAAGGGCGATCGTGTGGCAGTGGTGAGGGACGGACTACAGTCGTCAAATTATTTTGGGGGTATCGCCAAAAACTAGCCTAAAACCACCGCGACAAAAAATTCACATAAAAAATGAATTATGTAACAATAAAAAAAATACTTTTCTTTACTAGACATAACTGTTTACAAAATCTTTTTCCAAAACAGTAATTAGAAAAAAACGCGTGGAAAAATACTAAAAATTTTCCATTTTTTTTTCTCCACTACTGTGGGTAGAGCCATACCCGACTAGTCCACTGTTGAAAGGTTAAATGTCTATAATTCAACTATTTTATTTGTCATTGAATTAGTTGTGAATATACCAATCCTAGATAACATGCAGGCAGCTAGTTCACAAATTTTTTATTTTAAATGTCTTATGTTTACTAGAACTATTAATTTTTTTAAAATTTGAAACCGCAATTATAATTGACAATCAACAAGAAACATTTTTACCATATATATATGACAATATTTGCATAATATTTTTTATGAGAGAGTAAGAAATCTATCTATGATAGTTTCACAAGTGCTGTATTTCAGCAGGTACCATGTACAAAACATTCTGCATAAATTTATTTCTGTCCCAAGTAATCAGATAATTGCCTAAACACTTTTACAACTACAGTAGAGCGTCGTTTATCCGAAAGAATTCCAGTCAGCAAATTTAAATTTTAACTAGTGCTGTGGCACTGCAATCTCTGGTTATATCTTGGGCTACTCCAACATTTTTTTTTGTTGATGTGTGTGTTTTAGCTGGCAGCACTGGCCTTTTGGTGTTTTTCTGAGGACTGTGTGTCATGCTGAATCGAACGTTTTTGATACTAGATTAACTTCTAAAGTATAATTTTTTTTTGTTTTTATATTTTTCAATATATTTATTTTGTTTGTAAAAAATAAAGAAATAATTTTTAATGATACAATAGCCACGATTATTATTTTAAAAGTTTACGTTAGGCTTAACATTGATGAAAATTCAACACAAAGCGACATGCAACGAAGAAAAATTTCAACACAGGACAGGTTAATATATTTTTTCGTACATAATCGGTTATCCGAACAACCCCAGTCCCCAACTGATTCGGATAAACAATGCTCTACTGTATTTACAATTAACAGAAAAGCATGAAATGTTTTAAAATGTGTTATTTCTGTTTTTGTTATATGAATAACAATTTAGAATCTAATTTTCTAATTTCTGAATATACAGAACAAAATTTTATTATATTGTATTAAGTACAATATTTGAGAAATACACATGCAAACTAGAATGTTTGCCATAGTGAGTGTCTTTATGTTCTTTACATACAGAATGTCAGAAGCTATAAAAGCCTGGTTTTCTGACTCATAACTCAGATTCAGTGGGACTAGGAATGTATATTCACCTTCCTCCAAAACACAAATTTACATATATCAATCTCATGTAAAAAAACTTTACTAAACATGAATAGATGCCTAATTATAAAATATTAAAATTTTTCAGAACTTTTCATTTTTTCATTAAATTTTTATTGCAAAATCTGTGAATGGTTTTGTTACAAAAATAAATCAATGATTTTTATAAATTTTATTAATCTATAATATTTTATTAATGTTGTAATAAGTCTTACCATTGTAAGAATGTGAAAGCATTGATCGATGAAGACTCTTCTCATGAGTATTCACAACTTTCTTTGGTCTGTGAACTACAACAGGCCTCTTCTTGACCTTTCTTCTCAAACTTGTATTCATGTTTTCTTATTTATATTTTAATTTAGAAAAAGTTTGCTACTTAAAATTAAAAAAAAATTAAATATTAAATACAGCATTCATAAAATAAATACATTATATACGAGGGGTGTTCAAAAAGTATTGGACCTTTGGTCGGCAAAAATACATTTATTCGTTTTGAGGTACAAAACCCTAACCCCCTTCAAAGTAGTCTCCTTGTTAATGTATACACTTCTCCCAGCACTCCTGCCATTGCTGGAAACACTGCTGGAATGCATCTTTTGGAATGGCCATCAGCCGGTCCGTCGCATTCCGCATGATGTCTTCTCTTGACTAAATTCAGGTTCCTTTTAGCGGCATTTTCAGCTTGGGAAATAGCCAAAAGTCACACACAGCCATCTCGGGAGAGTATGGAGCGTGACGAACCACAGGAATGTTGTGTTTGGCGACGAAAGTCAGAATAAGATGCGCAGAATGGGCGAGTGTGTTATCATGATGGAGCTTCCAGGTTTTGGTTGACCACAGATCCGTTCATTTGCGTCGCACAGCATCACAAAGAGAATGAAGGACCTCCTGGTAGTACTCCTTTGTGATGGTTTGGCCTTGTGGTGTGTACTCACAATACCCCACCCGACGGGAGTTGAAAAAAACTGTCAACATGACCTTGACATTGCTGGGACCTGCCACGCTTTTTTTGGCGTCGAGGATCGTCCCTGAAAGCCTGCCGAATCTTGCAAATAGTTTCCGCTTGGGTATCGCCAAGCTTTTGGCAAAATTTGATGCAATATCGCTGCTCACATTGTTCAGTCATTTTTCAACTTAGTGGAATCCGACAAACGCTCACTACACGTCCTCACTCATAGGCCGACTGCCAGCGACTGACGCTTCCTGCAGGCAGGAAAAATTCAAGACTGTGCATGACTATCCCGTCCACAACTCCACCGAAAGAGACCTCTCGTGCATCATTGGTTTACGCGGGAAAAATAAAGGTCCGATACCTTTTGAACACCCCTCATATAATTAATTTTTAAATAAAATTGATTAAGTTCATGATAAATTACATTTTGAAATGATAGTAATTAATTACTATCATTTATAATTTAAATTATAATTATATACAGTAATTTAAATTATAAATTACTATTCATTTAGTAATTAATTACTATATTTGAAATGATAGTAATTAATTATTATCATTTCAAAATACTATCATTATTTTAATTATATAGATGAATGTTTTGAAGTTTTAATCTCTATTTAATAAAAATTCCACAATGTTTAATTATATTAAAATTAAATGCAAATTTTCTAAAACTTTAATATAAATTAAGTGCTTCAAAGTCTGAATGAAAAAAATAAGTATATCTTTTAACATTAGTTGTTGTTAACTAATGTAAAAAGATATACTTATTCTTATAGGCATACTGACTATAATAATTGGGCTGCAATTTGGATAAATTGTAAACCTATAAATTCCCACTGTTGTCCATCTGTCTTTTCTTAACCTTGAAAATGGAGTTAGATAGATGAAAGACAAGATCAGATATGGAAACCTTAGGAGCAGGAGGCTCCAATTAACTGTACAGGTAGCCCTCGGTTTATGCCGGCTCAATTTACGCCAATTCACAATAACACAGCTGCGCAATTTGCCGTTTTGCGGTGTAATTCCCCGATTTTCCCTATGCTAGACTGATTTTCATTTCAGTGTTGACGTATTTACAGAGCTGCGACATCGTACATTCGTTAAAACAAAGATTTTTATTGAATATATTTATTTTTTCTGTTTAATATTAGTGAGTATGTATACACTTGCATTAAATTAATATTAAAATACTAAACGTTTAGGTACCCACGAGTCAAGTTATTAATTAAACTAAATAGTCCAATAAATGGCATCCGAATCCATAGCGCCAATGAATGTATCCTGTATCAGTTTGTTCAGGAAAACACGACGCGGTAGCACTTCCGGCGATCACAAACTATCGTTAGTGAGACAAATCTACTTCTCGTTGGCCAGGCAATACTTTTTTATTGGCCAGACGATATCTACCTCTCCTTAGCCACCTTGAATTTTTCTGCTCAAATTGACCTTATACATGCACTACGACAACCGGTGGTCGACCAATCAGTGTCTCCGCTCGTCTGTAGCTCTATGTTGTGTTAACGTATCCTTTCAACTATGGAAAGTTTGAAGGATGAACTTTGTGAGTTAGACAATGATTGGGAGCAAAGTGCAAATGTTAAAAGGAGCATCATTGCATCCATTTGACCATGTTCCGAAATTCTCAATGAAAGAAAACAAAAATGTAAACAATTAAAGATGGATACTTTTTCTGGAAAATGTAAGAGATCCAAAACTAAAATTTTTTAATAAAAACATTTCACTTTATTTTATGATAAAATACATTTTAAAAATTAAATTTATTTGTATTTTGTATTATATTGTATCAATAAACAAAATTATTTGTGTATTTTTCACTTATGTAGAACCTAACCCTATACCTCAGGGTAAATATGGGTTCATTTTATTCGATTTGTGCCAGCTTTTATAAGAACAGAACTGCAGCGTAAACTGAGGGCTACCTGTATATGAATTTCCAATGCAAACCAGAAGTCACATTATTTCAATTCAAAACTTTTCCCCTGAAAGCAGTTACTAGATGACCAGCATGACTATTGTTAAAGGAAAAGTATGATATACAGGGACAAGACACTACACTACTAATTTGAGGTGGATAGCATATATTTTAAATTAAATAAATTAAAAAAATACGATTAAAAATTTCAGTTCAGCATTGTGACGATGTCACAATAAATAGTTGCTCATTACAATTTAGAATAGTACTGGTTTTTGTTTTTTTTCCATTTTTGACTCATTTTTGCTCTCTGAGTACTATGAATGCTTTTACTCCACATCAAGTTAGATTCAGTCAGGCCCACAATGATGTGACCAGATGGTGAGAGTCCTGATATACCTGGGACAGATCACCCAAAAAAATTTTCAGGTACTGCTCAGTTAAATTCAATCCTGGGTCTCTGAAATGGTAAGGTACCTTCACCAATCAACCAATTTGTTACAGATAATTGTGCTTTTGTACAATTATATTTAATGTTACAAAGAATTACACAATTACAACTCTGCAGAAGTTATGTTTTGCATTTTCAATGGATTGATCTACAAGTCTAGAGAATTTGCACCAGTGAAAATATATAAGTTACTTCATAATTATACAAAAGAAATCATAATTACATTTAACTAATGGAAATCTGAAAAAAAAAAAGATTAATTACAGTATATATAATGTTAAAGTAAACCTCTAGATCTCATCACCAATATCTCAAGACATATCATTATGAAATGTAAGAAAATGAATCGGAAGCAAAAAAAATGTCTCAGGTGAGTCAATGGAACAATCGATCTTGTCTTATATAAGTGCCGAAAAGGAAATTAAAATTCAACGAATTAGACTTTTGTTGAAATTACAAGCCTCTTCAAACAGTAAATTACAAACACTTTTGGGTCGTTCAGATAGAATGTTTGTTTGTTTGTCAAGTTATGGCAACACAACATTTGGGTGATCTGCCTAAGGGAGAATGCCTTCCGGGAAGTCTTTTTAAGGGAAACTGGCCCCTATTTAGGCATTTCAGACATGGAGAAAACCCAGAAAACTCCACATGGCCAGCCCATCCGAGCAAGGCGACCAAACTACCAGTATCCGAGCAAGATGACCGAACTCCCAGTATTCAGGCTATGAAGACCGCTTGGCCACTGGTGAGCCTTAGATAGAATGCAAGCATAGATTGAGAATATAGATACTGCTTTGGTAGATGTTGAATCTAAGCTATCTGTCCTCTAAACTGATTGAGAAAAAGTTCATTTTAAAGATGACAAATCAAACACAAAAATTAATTTAATTTATAATAATCTGCATGAAAAATTAATAAAATTAAAAGATAAAGAAGGAAGGAATAATATTGTAATCTCATGCATACAGGACAACAATAAATCGAACAATTGTTCAATTAAGGTTCAAAAACTTTTTAACAATAAATTAAAGGTTACAGATGTCAATATTAAACATGCTTTTATAATTGGAAAATTTAAACCAAATATAAAAAGACCAATTATTTGTTAACTGTTTGCTTTTGAAGATAAAAGTTTATAAAAATATTACTAATTTAAAAGGCTTAAATACATTCATTAATTATGACTATTCAATGAGTACGGGATGGCCCACTACATGATGTGTATTGGGTGACCTTGGCACTTCTCTCCATTCAAGGACTACGGTGACTAGGGTTTGGGAAGTCTCGACATTCTCAAAGTCCCGGGACACGAGACAATCCACGATCAAAATCCCGGGACGTCCCGGGACTTCGAGACTTCTCATAAAAAAATTAAAATCGAGTTCATTTTTGGCGAGATGTATCAATAAAAAAGCAACATTTATTGAACATAAAATCAAATTCTAACATTTATAACGTTAATTAAAGTCTAAACAGTTCGTATGTTTAATTCTTATAATCATAGATTCAGTTTTTGGCAGTAAAATCAACTTAGTAATCATAATAATCATCGCCTAGTCTAAATAATATAATGAACTAGCAATCAGACATTTAAAAACATCAGAGTATTTACAGCTTTGTCTGACAATCTGTTTCTGATTTTTGTAATAATGCCTCCGGACAAGGAGAACACACTCTCGTTTTCAACAGGTGTCGGCTTTATTGTGTTTAAAGCTTTATAAAGTAGTTCCAAACTGTCAGTACGTTTTCTGGTTGCTTCAAATAACTGAAACTCATTTTTTAATGCTGCTCTTCATTTTTTTGCAGAAATTTCGGGTAAATTTTCTTCGATTTTTTTCATTGCCTGTACCACTTGACTTTGAAACGACTCATCGGGTTCGTTGTGTACTGTAGAGCTACTGGCAATGGGTTCGGCGTCTATTATTTCCAAATCTGGAGTTTGAATACGAGGGATATTTTCAAAAAGTCTGTAATACAGATCTTCCGCAAAAGCAATAAGTGCAGTTTTATTCAAATTCGAAGTAAAATATCCGTATTTTGCGACTGTGAACTGTGGTGGCCAGTGTGCAAATATTTTAACAAACATTTAACAGAGTAAGGTTAAAAGTCACACGGCCTTTAAATTACCCCCATCTGTGTTGTTTATTTGTAAACAGGAGGGAGAACAAAGGAAGCGTCGATGGGCTAACCTTTTGAAAATAAAATTATTACAATATAATTTCGATAAGCGTGTCTCGAGTCTTGACCCGAATGTCCCGGGACCCGAGACAGTTAAATTTATAAAAAGTCCCAGGACTTCGAGACACGAGACGTCCCGGGACCCAAACCCTAACGGTGACCATATTTTTTGGGGGAAAATAAAGGACATATCGAAGAAAATATCTTATAAAATTCATAAGTTTATAACATTTATTACACATACATACACATTGCAAAAATTCAAATAACATTAATTTCAATACTTTTCAGTAGAATTAATTTTTTTTAATAGCACTGGTTCACACTTTAAAAAGTCATGAAATTCCATACAGTTCATTTGAAAGTTGTATTTGACGGAAATAATGTGCTTACTTTTAAGTGGGTTTTTTCATTCATCCACATATTATTCACCAATGAAAATATTTGTTTGACGGGGCATTAGATCCAGGGAAACAAAGAAAATTCTACGATTTTACAAATGTTTTTGAAAGCAATTTCTTTTGCTGTAAAATGTTCAAAAATCTCAACTCACTTTTGATGGCAGGGCTTGTTATTCTGTCGCCTTTTTGTTTGTGACATTTTTTTACACATGAAACTTCATCAAATAATTCACTGTCCAGTATATTTACAGACCAATGATTCGAAATAAAAATATAGCTTTCCTCTATCTTCACCCACAAAGGGATTTTGAGTAATGTGACCCATTCAAACACCTCTATTTCAATAAAACACATGTCCCAATTATTTAGTACATTAACAGTAAATATGTCACATGCTCAAGCCCCCCGAAGATTGTCGACGAATGCTCACCAACGCTCCAAGTGTATCATCCACCAAACAGAGAGTTAAAAAAACTATCACAAAAATCCCCATAAGAGTGTCTGCCCCTTGGTACTGTCAAAGGGCTGGTGACACACTGCGCTACCACACTCTATGTAGCAACGTATGGACACAATGACAACACTGATTGTGATGGTGAACACGAAACTAACTTGTTCAATATATTATTAAAAAAGTTTTTAAACTTTGCATTGAATTTACAAAATAAAGGACAAAATGCCTATTTTATAAAATAAATAAAGTTAGAGGACAGAGCAGTGAAATAAAGGACTGTCCTCTTAAATAAAGGACGTATGGTCACTGTAAGTATTCTGCTTCCCCTTTTTACTTGCATTTTTTATTTATTTAATATTCATATATTAATTAAATTTGTGAAACCATTACGGATAAAGTAACTTTATGCAAATTATAATCAATATATGAATATTTATAATCATCCATATAGAGTGAAATTATTTTGTTAAAGATGTATCGACTCATATGTTGTTTTCATTTTATAACTTGTTAAATAAATTAACAATAAGCATTTAATCCCTTTTTTAAAGACATTTAATGCAAATATATTTCATTACACATGCATAGATTATTATTACAATGAAAGGGTTATCACACACGATACTATTATCCCTAAAATGCATTTCAGCCCTGGTGTTAATGGCTCTCTTCAGTTAGGTAAACATTTAATATAAGGCAAAAACTCACACTTACAAAACATTAAAATGATAAACTATTAAAAATCAAAATGCTTAAAACTGTACACTTAGCTGTCGACAGCTTTACAAATACACCATGAACATCTTGATGACATATTATGCAACAAGGTGGAATATCTAAAAGAGGTGTCGTTTCACAGATTTTGCTGTCAAAGATCTTTATGGCTTTATTACATCTCATACTTTACTGAGCCCCACTACCTCTTCAAAATGATCAAATACAACTCAGTACAGTATGTTGACTTCCCCATTTAGAGTGGTGTATTAAAACTTTATTACTTGCATGAACACACATAATTCACTACTACTAGTTAGTAGTTCAACCGTCCAACCTATGACTACTACTAGAAAGAGGCTGCACAGCTTAGTAGCTCAAGCCATACCAGTTCATAACCAACCAACAAACCATACGTGATCAGTGCAGTTCATTATGTTAATGTACAAGTGAATTTAGCATGGTAATAATTAATTGGATACAAAAACTGAAAGACTGGTGCAAGGTACAACTAAAATGGTGATACAGGAGTGTATTATACATGTTTATGCAAGTATTAAAGTTTCAATACACCACTCCAAATGGGGAAAAGTCAACATACTGTACTGAGTTTGTATTCGATCATTTGAAAGAGGTAGTAAAGTATGAGATGTAATAAAGCCATATGTAAGCTGTAATTGTAGCTGTTAATGTAAGCTGAATTCTAAAATATGTTTAAAACTGTTAACTGGAAACATAGAAAACAAATAATCATTATCAATAATCCAATTTTTTAAAATTTAATTTAAAAATGTCATTTCTTAATAGGATTTTTAAAATATAATTTTGAGAATTTATCTAAAAAAAGAAATTCGTTATAATATGAAAATGTTGATTAGCACTTAATTAATTATAAAAGAAAAACTAGAAGAATTATTCCATAATAATTAATAATCTTGTTCATATTAAAAGAGAATGATTATATTTATTCTTTTTTTTTATCGACTTACGTTCAAAATTTTGAATTTCACCCGCGTTCATCACAAACAAACCGCAAACCGTAATAGTCGCAGCGCCCCCTAAAAAATTCAATGTAATAAGTTCGAATTTTATAAATTTAATATATTTGATTAAGCTTTTTATAATTATATAAAAATATATTAAAATTTTTATTTTTAAAAGTTTTAATAAAACATCTATATCACTTAAATTTCTTGAATATAAATTATTCAAAATATTTTCCAATATAAATGTAAAATTTAAATGTTTAATTCGGTAACAAATGTGTTAAATTCTTAGGGTGTAAAGATCGCTAATCGTAGATCGCCGTTTAATATATAACAAAGAAATTGTTATAACGGTCGGACTGGACACCGGTCACGTCCTGCTCGTCTGACTGACCCGAACAAAAGACATCCCCGAATCGCGCGCCCACACGTAGGTGTAACTTGATCGGTTTCAAATTGGACCCCGGTCGTTAGGTTTTCACACCTGGAAAACACCTGACCCAACATCTCTCCTTTTAAGAAAGAAAACAACTGGCCGAATTGGCGGTTTATGCCGCATAATAGTTCTTTCCAGAAGGGTTGACTCGAAGCCGTCCAGTTGGGATTCGAATGCGGGCGAATCGGCGCGGAGGCTGCGGTGTTACTTTATCGAGTGACGATTCTTCATCCCTTAATTATTAATTAACCCCTTAAGGACATTGACATTTTTTATATTAATTTAATTAAACGTAAAAAATACTTAAAACTGAAAAAAACGAAAGAAATGCGTTTATTCTGAAGGAAAAGCTTCGAAGTTTAAGTTCCTTTGTCTCGCCTTTCTGCGAAATTTAACACCGATGAGTCATTGTTTACACAGCTGGATGACCTTGAGAACAGCTGGAGTCGGATTTCCCGGGACATTCTCATAGACGTCTCGGGAGGACAAGGGTTTAAGTAGGGTGACTACTAACTAGGTCTATATTTTTAAATATTTTTAAAAAATTAAAAATTTTATTGCGATTTCCGACCCCCCTAATTAATTAAATTTATATAAAATAAAATCTATTAATTAAAAAAATTTAAAAACTATTGGAGGTCGTTTTTGACATCAGAAAGCAGCTTTAAATAACTTTACCGATGTCAAATCCGTGCACTACAACTTTAGAACGATTAATTAAATTTGATAAAAAAACGCCCATTAAAAAACAATTAAGCCTTAATCGAGCCTTATCGAAGGCTAATCAAAATCGCGATAAAATTTTTTCACGCGGGCAAAAAATTTTGAAAAAATTTGGGGTCTTAAAAAACATTCCAAAAATTCAAAAACCAAAAAACTTTTCAAAAAAAGGACAACGTTTTATGTAACGCTATGTAACTTGCCCGAGATATCTCGGGTTATGAGCTTAATAGTTCTTCTCGGCTGGAGTGAGCGCGCGAGACGTGTGAGCGATAGCCTTGATTGATCCGTCGGGCAGGCGGCCGGATGGCCGAGCGGCCAAGGCGGCAGCCTACCGCTCTGGGGGACCCGGGTTCGAATCCGAACGGGTCGAAAAGTCCCCAGGAATCATTCGGGGGGTGGTCCGTTCGGACATGTTGGGCCCCGTTCCTCACCACCCGGCAGCCCCATTGTGGGCCTGGCCTAACCCATAATGAGCTTGCAAAAAGAGGCCCTGTTAGTGCTCACAGGGCGGAAAGAGTTGAAAAAAAAACATCCGTCGGGCAGGCGGTGTTGGATGACGGCACCAAGCCCTAGACTTGACGCGTCAGCTGCGACAATGATATCGAGCGTCAGATCATAGTGTGTGAGAAATAAATCCGACTTGAGAATGTCCTTGATGCGCTGGAAGGCCCGATGACATTTGTTCGACCCAGTGCCGGCCCGAGATAAGTTTTAGGATGGAGCAAAATCCTATTATGGCGCCTCCCTTGGTTGCCCTTAATTTTCTTTACCACTGAGGCGCTCCCTAGGTCTTAGCACCTGGAGCGGCTGCTCCGTTCGCCCTATGATAGGGCCGGCTCTGGGGCCATATTCTGGTCATTGTCTCTGGTCTCTTGTCTCTCGCAAGCCAGTCGCTGATTGGCTAATCCAAATGATTAGCCAATCAGCGACCAGTTTGCGAGAGACGAGAGAGACCAGAGACAGTAACCAGAATACGGCCTCTGGTTCGACCACTGCCACTTTCGGTCTTTCTGGAGTAATTCGTCTAGTGGTTGGCGAATTTGACGCATGTTGTGGACTAGTGGCATGCCGTGACACTTGCTGATAGGGAAGCTGTGTTTCTGTAAGAAACCGACTTCCAATGGCAATCAGTGAATTGCGCATGATGGTCTAGGATCCATTCATATTCGTTTGTTCGATAAGCCAGTAAAAACCGTAGACTTCTAAATATATTTTTCATATCACAATTACATTCTGAATCGCTAGCAACGATATAAGGGTTACAATTAAAAATAAAATAATAATAGAAACTTGGTAAAATGTGAGGTGGATGTACAGTACAAAATATTCTTCAATTGTTATGAATATTCTTTTAAAGAAAATTATAATTAAATATAGCTTTGTAAAGAAACATACAGTACATAAAAATAACATAAAATATTCTTTACTTTTTAAATCTTAAAACAATCCACTTAGTCAAATAGCTCCCTACAGGTGGCGAATGGATGGAATCAGAGACTGGCGTCTAATTACAGAACGATTCCGTAGCCGTAGTTCTGGTTTTTACCACGAGATGCCGCTAGTGTCGTGATGTTCATATACGTCGTACTGTACGGTGTGCTTGGAATTTTTTGTCGATATTTTAGCTTTAAAACCACACTTTATCATCGATAATTGGTTGTGAAGTATTCCCGCTACGTTGCTAAGAAATCGTTATGGAAAATATTGCGTTGGATATATTAGAAAATACTCGTTGTTATTGCGATAAGCGTTTCTTTTCAAAAGGAAATCTTACTAACAAGCGTGTAGGTTTAGAACATAAGCAAATGCTGGTGGAGGAAAAGTCTATATTCTGTTGTGAGACTTCATGTTCTGAAGGATTTTCTACTTTCCTTCGATTACGTGAGCATTTGGAAAACGTACTGTACCTGTACACGGATTTGCCTGTGAAATTGAGAAACTGAAATTCAAAACTATGAAGGGTAAGTAAATTCTCTTCTGAAATTTTAAAAATGCTGTATTTAATTAATATATCTTAAAATAATTGTTTTCATGAATATTAACAGCTCATTCAGTAGTAATTAAAAATATTATGCACTGTATTTGACAGATTTCTACGAATGGAAAGCCACAGATAAGTTGAGAACCAACTAAAGTTAACTGTGTCGTACTGTCTAAATATTCATAGAATTTATAAATTCTACTCGTGCGGCTCTGGCACATGGGATCGATTCAGAAATGTACCTACAAAAAGAAGACATTCAATAACAGATTGTGTATGTGAGAGTAGCCGGAGGTACAACTCCGTTTGGGATTGTTTGTATCACTTACTCGGCACAGATTATCCGAAATCTGTCTCCTTAGTTTCGGATCGAGGGATCCGATCTTAAAAGTTTTATAAAAGGGCGATAATCGCTAATAGATCTGAATCTGTGAGGTTCAGATCCTTGTCAGGGTCCCGACACCAGTTTGTCAATTTATCGATGCGCGGACAAACACGAGTATGAGATCTGATTCGGTCACACAGTTAAGAGACATTTTAATTAAAACGAAACAATAAATTTAATAAATAAGAAAATAAACTCATACAAAAATCTTAATGAACGAGAGATAGAATTACCACAAATAGCATACGAATCGAGAGATAGCTATACTTATCTTCTACCCGATTCGCAATCGAGAGAGAGAGCTCACAAAATCGTTAAAAACATACAACCTGTTCTAGTTGTCGTTCGTCTTCTTCTCTGTAGGTAAGGGACACCTTGTAGATAAAGTTCATTTACTTCTTAACATGGGAGATCGATATGTGCACAAAATCAAAGTAAAATTTCTAAGTGCAGACTCGGGACTTATTCTAAGTGACTCGTTAAGGGCGTTGGTCATCAGGAGGAAAATGTGTGGAGTTTGGACGCTTTCGGATCGGTCGAAGAACTCCCCGAATTCGGACAAATTTCCTCTATATGTCACGATCGGCGATCAATCATTATGCAAAGATTCCTCCGTGAGAACGGATGGAAAGGGGGGATATGTGAGGGGTAAGCATTTCCCATCAAAGCGAGAGTTTTCGCCGATAAGGGAAAAACAGAGGATGTACTAACTTCGGTGAAAGGAAATAACATCTGTCATCTATTTTTCCCACTCTAAAAACGTCATTTTTCTCACAAAACGAATGAATATTTTGTGGCAATATTTTAACATTATTAATAAAAATTATTAAACTGGACCCAGGGCCTTTCGGTTTTCACATGTATATAAAAATGGTGCAAATGTATAATTTTCAATAAATCCTTTTTATAGAGAAAACATCTTTCTTACGAATAGCATTTTTTTTTTCTAGCTTATGTTCAAATAAATCATTGCTGATGTGTTAAATCAGGCTACAAAAAGTTCATTAATATTTTACTGCTTATGATAATTTGTTGATGGATTTAAACTACCAATTCAAAAGACTACTCAAATTATACAAGATACACTTAACTCTTGGTATTCGCTAGGGTTAGGTTTTTTAAAATCTCGTGAAAACCAAATAAGAATGCCTATGGAGAAAATTGAGTTTGGTTTTGTGGAACATTTCGAAGTTAAATGTTAATTGTAAAATATTGCAAATTTCTAATATAAAACGTTTAAATTATTTCTAAAAAGCAATGAATAATTTTATTAAATAATACAAAAAAAAAAAAAAAAAATTCGAGTAAGAGATTGAAAATTCAGCAGGAAAATCTTGAGATTAAAAGAATTTAAGAACAAAAGTCTACATATTCTGTAGAATAACTTATATAATATACCGTATAATTTTAAATGTTTTGATAAAAATAATGAACAATAATCATCTTATAATATAAACATTGAACATTAGACAAAAGACAAATTTGACGTTCAACAAACGAACAGTAGCAAATTTTGTTCGTAATAAATTCATTCTGACTGTGGTGTATTTACACCAAGAAT